GAAAGCTAGTTATATTCAAAGAAATCCCTGACCTGAGAAACATTTGAAATCATAAATCTAGTTTAATAAGATAGGTAGCAGTAGGAATAATAATTGTTTCAGATTGACTACAAATCCTTAGCATCCTTTTACATTATCAAAAAAATGAGTAGAGAAACTGATCACCCTGTACATAAAATGAATAATGAATGTTCAATACGGAGCAAAAATTTATTCTAGTTCTTCAATACTTGATCCTTTTTTTTTTCTGCTTATCTATGAAAATTATGCTATGTAAGTCAGAGACTCATCTTAGGGGTAGGGAATGTCAGCTTGCTACTATAGCAGAGACAACCTGTCATAGTACACAAACATAATATAAGATACAAAAAGACATTATCACTCACCAGAGATGTTTTTTTTTAGTACTGAAAATAAATGAGAAGATCAAATAATAAGGGCATTATTTCTCAATATTCTTAATCTATATGGAGAATAACCTAGGGTACCTCACTCAAAGGTACCCTATGTTTCAACAACTTCATGCGGCAAATCTACATCAAAGATATAGAGTGTACCTCCCAGAAGGAAATGAAATATGCTTATGTTTATAATCAAATATGCTAATAAAAAGGTTTAAGACTTGAAACTGATTTGTTGTTTCAAACATACATCTGTATATTGATAACACGTGTGTGGCACATTTCCAAGGAAATAGCCACATGTTTCAGATTTAATCTTCTACAGAACACCTGTGGCACATTTCCAAGGAGATGGTCACACATTTCAACCTCCCTGCATGAAGCACCCACAAGTTGACCCTGATTTCCCAGATGCCTCCTCAGGTATTTAAAGGGCCCTCTGTCCACCCAAAACCAGATTCCTCAGATTATTACAACCCACTTTAGATTACCCAGCGTCCCAAATGCTTAACATTTGTATCTGACTGGTAATGTATTGTCTCTTGCTTTAATTCTCTGTCTATCAGAACCTCAAGACTTAAGGGGCTTTATTAGTACATAATTCCCCCTTCTTTCTTGAGATTCTTACTACTTTCTTCTGGGATTTAAACCACCCCTGTTAAACAGGCCCCAGTGTTAACAGGTACCTAAATCCTCTGCTTTTGCATGATACCTTTGAGGGATTAAACAACCCCTGATTTATCAGGCTCCTCTGTTTAAATTATATCAATATTTATTGATATAATTATTCATTTCTACTATCTAATAACCTTGTCATTACCAATCATCATTGGAATTACCACCCAAACTTTTCAGTCTCGAACTCTGTCATCTTAAGTTTTGCACCACGTTGTGGTGACCCATACCTTTCCATAGCCCCTATTATTTCACTGTATATTCACTTGGTTTTCCTTCATTATTATTACATATTCAGATTCTACACCCCATTTTACATGTAGTCACTCACTCAAGCCATATTTCATTTCTTACTGGATCAATAGTTATTTTCACTCTTAGCTTTACAGATGTTTTTCTCTACATTTACATTACACAGTAGCTACATAAAGTACATATTTACAGTTTGATTCATACATCATATATTTCTCAAGTACTTTCATTTACAATTATTTGTTCCCATTGCATCAGTCACATTCTTTACAGTAGTTGTTTCTCATTACATATATCAGATATTTTCTCAGATACTTTCTTTACACTCATTATTTCACATGTACCCTACAGGATAACAGTAGTACACTCTTTCACAGCCCTTCTCCTCTTTGGGTTTGTTCCCCTTTACTCATCCTTGTTTTCTGTTTACATTTCTCATCTCTTGTTTCTACATATTTACATTTCTTTCTCATAACCAGAATTGCCACAGTCTGTGTTCATTTGTATCTTAGAGTATATAAGTAATCCTTCTTACACTTTTACCCCCCCATATACATACATATAGAGAACAATACATAACAAGATACATAGACATATATATATATAGATAACAAGAGAGATACATATACATACAACAATCAATGCATACTTTGCCAGAAATAATTTAGCCATATTTTCTTTCCCCTCTTTTGCATATTTTGCCCCTTAGTGACTCCTTGCATATTTTGCACTCATTCCTCAGAAACCTTGCATATTTTGCACATTACCCTTTGACCCCCTCTGCATATTTTGCTCATACCCTTTGAACCTTAATCCTCACTCCACAATCCTCCTTCCTCATCACTCCTCATACACTCTGTGGTATTATCACTAGAAATTGATAACACCTTCCTGTCGTAGAACTCACTAAGAATTACTAGAATACAAGCCACACCTTTCTTCTTTTTCTTAGTGTAACTCTTCCCAACTCCAGCATTGTACAGGAGGGCAGCCTCAACAGCACCCATAGTCTCAATTTACATTATTCGTAGTGTAGTTGTCTATTTCCCCTCCAAGCTCTGTTTCTGATTGTTCTGCAGTTCCACAACGTGTAGCTAGAAGATTTACCATCTTGGCATCACGGTGGCTGACAATCAAGGTCTAGTTACCATTTCTCTTTCCAGCCAAAAGGGAAAGGCGTTTTGGATTGGGTTAAAGTTGTTGAGGAAAAAACTTAGCTCATTAACTATCTTGTTTATTGTTTATTGGAATATTTGCTGATTGATTTTGAAATAGGCTAAGTGCAATTTTTTTTCCAAATTGGATTGTTTCACAACCTTTCTCAATCTGAGTTAATCCATGGTGATCTATACTTGGGAAGCTCCTCCAATCAGCTGGGAAGATCCCTAAGCCCTGGACAGGTGCCGGCCTTCTGGTTAAAACTGTACACACATACCAGAATCCTCCACAAAGCACAAAGATGAGGCTTCCTCACATTATCACTATAGTGATGCTGATTGCAACAGAAGATAAACCTCTTCATGACCTCAAGAACCACCTATAGAAGTATGCTAATCCATCAGAACCACATAATAATATTTTTTTTAATAATTTTTTGGAGAATGTCCAATTGGTGTCACATGCTATTTGCTCAACACAGAAAAAAAAAGTTAGAGGAATCTTGAGGCTCGCTTGGGGGAGTTGAGGGTTGCCTTGGTGCTTTTTTCTTTATTTGGCGGGGGAGGGGTGAGTCAGAACTATCACTGCTGGGGGGGAGACGGATTATCTTTGTTGGCGGCAGATGATGGCTGGGCGTTGGGTGGAGGTGTAGGGGCGTTTTGCTGCTGGGTGTCTGGTGGCCTTTGCGATCCAGAAGTCCCCTGAGCCTGCTGAGATTGTTCAATGCTGAGGCCACGCATTGCATCAGCAGCTGAGACATCTGGACTAATCTCTGCTTCATCCAATGTTATTAGATGCTGTGCCACAGCAAGGTCTCAAGCAGATCTAACCTTCTCTGTAATCTGGCAAACTTCCTCCTCCTGTGCCTCAGGCAAAGTGATTGGCGGAGCCGGATTACCATCCAGGTTGAGCAATTGACCAGGCAAGTTGCACACTCTCAGGATTAACTTCCTTGTTGGAGGATTCCAGGGCTTCCTGCTTGGCCCAAATAAAAGGACTTGCTCTGCTGGTGCTGTGGCACTTCATATACGCTTGTTGGCTTTGGCGGGAGTAAACCCAAGTAAGCCACTTAATTTTAAACAGTTCAAATCCTTCCAGCTGACTGATAAATAACTGCCCAAACAGACTTTGACTCCTTCTGGCCTCACACATCCACTTACCTCCTTTCTTACCTCCAAGAGGCCCTCACAAATAAAGAAACTTCTAAAATAGACCAGGTTAAGCTGGGCACACAAATTTCAATCAACTTTCTCAATCTTTGGTCTGCTTCAAATCAAACAACAGTCCCATGGATTCAATTGCCAAAAGCAAAAGGCTGTGCTCCTCCCAATATTAACCTAAACTTCTTGTAAATAACCATCCAAACTCCCCTGATTAAGTGGGTTCATTTGTTTTCCATCTTCTTTCCCTACAGCACTGTTTTTCTTACCAGTTCTGCTATAACCAGAAATACATCTGGTCAGTGGTAGGGCTTTCTCATGCCTGCCAGTAACATTCCAAGAGTCTATATCAGGTTCTTGTAGGGCTGGAGCCCAAGTTACCTGTGAACACTTGTTCACTTTTCCAAAGAGCCATACATATATGAATGTTACATGGTTCAACAATACTTGAATGATATGCAAGTATGTTGCCTTTGATTTAATCCCACCTTGAATTTTGAGTGATGTACACTCCATGGGGGATCTCTTTATTCACCCCCATACAGTATAGCAAGAGAGAAAATTTGGATTGGCCAAGGTCAAATGTGGTCCACCCCAGCTAATTAGTATTTTTGGAAGTTTTGATGCTAGGAATGCAGCAAATAGCTTGATGGAATGAGAAAAATTTACTCATTAAATTGAGTCACTTTGCATCTCAACTCTCCCACGGTAAGACCTTCAAAATCAGGGATCAAATTCACACATTTTCAGAACTTTGCATCTCATTTTCTTGGCCGTTTGTTGGGCTACAACAAATCTGAGAATATGGTCTGAAAGATCAGATTATTATCTTTCTTAAATTTTTAAAATTTAAAAAAAAAATTACTCTCAAAGCTTCCAATTTGGGGCTTACATCTTTTTCAATTCAAATATTAATAAAAATCTAATGTCACCATGTGATTTTCAGATCAAGAGAAATCCAACAAGCTCTTTTTCATCAAAATTATATGTTGAGAATATTTTATGTTGATTTTTCTTGTATCCACACCAAAATTTGTTAAAATGAAGCTTGTAACTTAGATCCTGTTTCATTAATCTTGAAAAATCCTATTTTTTCAAACATTTCTTTAATTTTTTAAAAGAGTATACACCTCTATGACAAAATTTACCTATTGCTATGTGTACTACATTCTCCCAATAAATTTTGTCATCCTCAAATATTTTCTTGAATATTTCTTGTGCTTGATCTTTTAAGAAATATCCAATAAGATAAAGAGATACATTAATAACACATGAATATGAATTTAAATCACTAAAGTACTTCATCAAGACTATTTGAGGTTTGGAAAATTCTGAAAGACTGAGAGGTTCTTCATCAAAACTGGCTCTGTTGTTCAGGAAAAATTCTCCAAAAATTGGCAACTTGTTATCTTCTTTTGTCATCAACAACTCATGTATCCACTTGTAGAAGTATTTCTTTTTTGTTGAATCCTGGGATCTAAAGCCTTGGAACATGTGATTTCTTGACAAAATCACAATGCATGCATTCATGTGAACTATAAGTGATCTCAATTTGCAGGTAAGAAGTTTTCCAGATCTCCTTCTTCCTTTACCCAAAATATCAACCCGTAAGAATCCTTTGAAACCTTTACCTCCACTATTCCTGAAATTGGCAATTCCAACATGTAGATAAATTCCTTCCTCATTGATGCAGTGAGACTTCCTTCTTAGGGCTCTTCTAGATGAGACACTTCTAAAATTATCCAAAATTTCTTTCTCTTCTGCATCAAAAGTGTTTTGGCCTTGGTTCTTTCTAAACTGATAAGGCTTTAATTCTTCTGGAAATGTTTCAAATTTGGGAAGCATGAATTTTCCCATTTCATTCAAATTGTGATTAGCATTTTCACTTCTGATTGTTTTGCTTTGGAATATTTTCTTTCTTGAGTTAACAGTTTTCAATCTTTTTTTGTCATTTCCAATTTCAACTTGTTTATTTCTAAAAATTTTCATTCCTGATTCAAGGGCTGAGCTGTAAGTCAACCTCATCAATTTCTGTTGGAAATTTGTTTCCGAGTCAAGGTGAGCACAAATCCAATCCCTAGTTGCAGGTTTGAAATTTTCATAAAACAGTTGTATGAGTAAAAGGGCAGTCTTCAGGGCCTTGCTTTGAGATACATCATTTGATAGAAATTCCAGTAAGATTGATTGGATTTTTCCAAATTCTTTCCCTTCTGGAAACTTGTTTATATCCTTGATTATTCTAAGAACAGGAAAACTATTCTCATCGGAATGGAATGTCTCTTCAAAAACCCAATCCAACATCTCATGATGAAACTTCAAATAATCTTGGGAAGCATTTAATTCTGGCCTTGACTTGATCAAAACTGATTGATTTATGAAGATAAGCCATTTTATCAATATTTGAAACTTGCTGTAATACATTTCAGCTCTAGGTTACTATCAGAACTTTCTTGCTGAATGGAAACCCTAGTCACATACAAATTCTTCTGATGGGACCATAGTATCTTTACTGGTAAAGTTCCTGAATATTCATTATACCTTCCACTTCCAAACACCCTTTGATCAGAAAATATATTTTTGAGTTCTTTTTTGAATTTCTTGGAATACTCTCTAAACATCTTCCTATCATAATTATTTATTTTGGGGAAACTTGCATTTTCAACCCACTTCAGGATTGACTGATTGATCAATGAGTTCTCTACTTCTTTTTTTGCTTTTATCTTCAAAAATTGATTCCTGATTTCTAACTTTTTGGTTTTCTCCTGATGGGTTTTCATCAATTTGGGTTGGGATGCTTCTGTTGACATCAATTATATTTTTTACTATTTTTCCTTCATCTGATCTATTATAATAAGATGTTAAGTCTAACTGATCAACATGACCATTATCAAACACAGAGTCATTTTCATTATTTTGATCATATGGTGGGGCTACGTTTTTGTGGCAGAATTTATTATGATTAATGATCAATTTTGGTTTGAAACAGGATGTAAATCTTCAGTATTCAATCTTTCACACTCACATTTGTCTTTGTGATCATCTGCAATTTGCAATCCATCCTTTGGTAAAATTGAATGATGCACTCCATCATGAGAGCTGTGGTTGACCTGGCTGGAAGAAGAATCTATGAACATTGGTTCTGTCACTGAAGTAACCATGGGGAATTCATTTTGGTATCAATTTCTGTAACTTCCAGTCAAGTAACAATCAGAATTCCAGTTGCCACACTGACCTATGTGATCTTGTCCCTCTCCAAGTTGTAAACCACTCTGTGACTTTGAATTATCAGAAGTTTGAGCAGGAATATGGTATGTAATCTTGCTTGGAAATAAATTGATCAAGATTGGATCTGTTCAAAAGAGAGATTTAGTGTGTGTATGAATCTACAAACACAAATTGAAGTAGAATTCTCATCAACTTGCCTCTGCTTTTTTGATCAACTTGGAGATGCTCAAAAATCCATCCTGTCTGTGGCAGTGCATCTTGGGCTTCAAATGACAAAGGATGAATGGTGTGTGATGTAGACCCTGTTTCAGACCATTCACCATTGCAAAGAGGCACAGCTAAGGGTTAGAAATCTGCAGGCTCTTCCTTGCAAAATACACAGTTTTTCTTTACCTTGATTAAGTCCTTTTGGTTGGTACATCTCATCATGAGTGATGCCCAGAGATAGATCAAGTGGCTGGAAACTTGGCTGCAACCTGCTTCCACTTGCCTGATCATTTCCTACAGTCTTTTGTCTTTTGCTAGCCTTTGGGAGTACAAGATCTTCTTGATTCCCTGGACCAAAAGGAGCTAAAGACAGGTTGAGTACTTGAAAACTCAAAAACAACTATTGGAATTTTGGATGCAACATGCAACACAGTGATCATCTTACCTTGGTTGTAATCAGGTCCTCCAAGAGCTGAATCTTCATCTTCTTTATAGGTATCAAATCGATTATCAGCCTGCCGTTTTAACCCCTGTTTTACTACTTCACTGGAATCCAAATCAGGCCTGAAGTGTTCAAACTCTTTTGTTGGATCATGCCGGAGGGCTGATTGAACTAGAGCTGCACTCCAAGCAAAATACCAGAAGATTCGAATGTAAACGCATTACTGGTTCTGGGTTTTTTGAGATTGAAGAAAACTGTGAGGGAAGCTTATAATTATAAGAAACTTGCAGCGATGAAGACTTTTTCTATATTCCCGACCGTGCCCCCAGTCCACTGACAGATAGGCACTCCGTCCCACATGTAGCATTACGTCTAGAATATCAAGTCTCAAAGATGCAGAACAGTCTGATTGGGATCGCAATCCGATCATCATCATCATCCAATTCTGATCCTGCCGGGCTGTTTTAAGCTTTGCTTCAGGATTACAGGGCTGGTCATAAATATATGGACACTTCGACGGGGCATCCCCTTTGTGCAGTGCTAGCACTCGGTCTGACTGGTAAGACTAGTTGGGGATTCACTCGACATATGAATCGGAGTCGCACTAATTCATTCTTCATGAAATTACTCAGTCCGAGACTACCAATGGCCACTTGAAATGATGCCTAGGAGGGTTCTCATATGAAGCATTCTCGACATGGATCAGAATTCTGCAAAGAAGCTTTTATATTCATGCGAGCCGGTGTCTGGTCGGTCAACACTTTGCCATCAGACAACTATTTATTCAACAAATTCCCTTGACAAGATAATCGACGTGGCCCAACCCCAAAGCCATTAACGGAGAAAAACAATGACCAGTAAGTAAGCTAGTCGGCCTATACAACAAAACGTCCGGCCGCCGCGTCGTGTCGCTAAAAAGAGGAGCAGTTGAACGGTCATCAGGCCATGGGCCTGGAGCGGTTCAAGACCTGATATCATTAAGGCATCAGCAGCTGAGCGATCGGCTGGACAAAGCAAGTTAAGACCTGATCATCCACGTGGTCGGATCTTGACGAGGGAGCTGTGTCATGAACTGCCGATTGGCCTGGGTAGGCCGTTACTCTGATGAAAAATCACCGGCCTAACAAGAAAAAAATCAACTGAGCAACCGTCAGTCCAGGCCGAAATCGGTATCAACGGCCTCTTGGTCGTGGACATCCACGATGTATATACCCTCAGGACTGTCTTTCCCCACTGAGTAGGCTCGGGTATAAAGACCAGTCATTTCGGCTCAATTTTCTTTCTTCCTTTCCTCAGCCAACTCACAATTAACTCATTCAGCTTCATTGAGCCGGACTCCTTTATACTCCTAATCTTTCTTATCCACTTAATTTCTTATAAATAATACCTACCATTAAATACTTCATTTTCGCTCTGAAAGATTGTCATATCCGACAAGAAAACACAACCAGCTTTCGCAACCATCGAACCACAATAATATCCAGATCTTGATAATAATACCCATCATGTTCTCAACCCAGCTCTTGACCCTGATCACTCTAGCGGCCTTAAGCATGACACCGCTGACGCACGGCGCGCCAACGCCGCAATTTGGGGGCCTTTTGAACTACAGCAACGGCGGCGCATATGGGAACACTCAACAGGGCGCAAACGGCTTCGGAGCGAATGGCTACAACAGCGGCTACAACGGAGGCCAGGCCTCAAACGGCGGCCAATCGAGCTCCAACTCCTTCCAACAATCCTCCGGCACATCCACCCAATCCTCCGGAGGAGCTAGCAATGGCTTCGGCTCCTCACCTGGCCGGGAAAGTGCTCAAGCTGAAGAAGGCTTTGTATGGGACAAAGCAAGCAAGCCGGTGCTGGTGGAAACATTTCAAGACCCTCTTACACGGTTGGGGATTTGATTGCGACGAGGTCAAAGAATACTTATATCGCTACCGCAAAGGCAAGTCAATCATCATAATATGGATTCATGTGGATGACGGAATTGTCTTCAGCAACAACACGGCGGCTCTAGACCAACTACGTGAGAATCTTGAGGCAAGCTTGTTGAGGGGCACAGGGTCGCAGGGACTGAATGTCACAGACTATGTCTTGTGACTAGGGAGCTGACACTAAGAACTAATGTGGTTTGTATTCAATGCAGAAAGAGCTCCTGAGTCTGATATCAGGAGGACTAAATACAAAGCCAAAATGCATAACTGTAATGGAAGCATACTATACTGGATATGCATATCCACAAATCCAACACACCCCCTTGCTGACAACTACAGTTATTCTAAAATAAATGAGATAAAAAAATTGACCACTAAAAGTAGGTAGGATTAGTGGAATAAAAAAAATCTCAGCTGGGGACAGAAAGGAAATTTGAATCAGGCCAGAGATCCAGAGGTAGTAAGGGACAGGGAAACACCACGACAGTGAATAAGTATCCAAAAATCAAACGCATTCAAAGAATTGGCCATCGACTAGCACCGGAGTTGTGTTCGTCACGAATAGAATGTTTTGTCTGGGGTTCATCCTTCCTAGCCCCACACGACGTCGCAGCCATCGTCATCGTAGCTGTCGTCGTCATTTTCTTCATCTTCCGAGTAGTTACCAAGAGTTGCATAGGAAACCGCCCCAGCACGAGCTTCAGTCGAGGACGCTTGGGCGGTGGGTTTCTTTTTGAGAGAGGGGTTCGAGCATTTTGACGAGTGGTGACCCTTCTGACCACAATTCCAGCAGCCCAGCTTGGGAATCAGCCTTCGTCGCAGCGGCCGAGGCATCGAAATGATCGGTCGAAACTTGAGTTGACGCCTCATGCGATTCCAGAGCGCCAATTGCATCGTCTAGAGAGACCTCGTTAGGCGAGTAGACAAGGTGGTCTCGAATTGGCTTCCAGGAATCGTCGAGACCCCGAAGTAGTCTGTCACAGACTTGCTGATCATTTGGAGTCAGTTTAACGCTCGTGAGATCAGATGCTGCGTTCCGTATCC